AGGGAATTGGCTCAATACATTTCAGTAAATTCCTGTAATGTATATATGTACATGTACTGTATGTATTTGTGGCATATTATTATGTGACAAAAGCCAGTTATAGAAGAGCATGTATATGACATTCTCGTTTTTGAAAATTTATATTTATATATGTTTTCCATTGAAAGTATCTAAAATATATATATAACAAAATATTCAGGCTAGTTGTCTAGAATCTAGAATTATGGATGTCTTTTCACTTTATTATCTTTATGTTATTTGCTATAATAAATATGGATTATTTGGATAATGTCTACAGCAATTGTTACAACAAAGATTATAATTATTACTTAATTAATAGGTACCTGTAAAAGAAATCCTAGCCCCTCAAAGACTGCAGCAGTTGGGAAAGAGCTTTTGGAAAGTGAGGAAAAAACCCATGGCCACATGAAAAACTGTTTATGGGTGCATGCTATCATGCTATCTTATCTTAATAACTGATTCAGCAAAATAATACTATGGAAAAATCTTTAAAGGACAGAATGCTGAGCACTAATAAGCATGTAGTTTACAGAATGCATCTAAGTTTAACCACTTATATTCTATTTGTTCTTAGGGAAAATTAAAGAAATATGGTGCAGGTAGAAAACCATAATGTTAATGTTCTCCCTAACTGAATGGCCAAGCTATGACAAAGGGGCCGTAAATGTGGTGGGTGTGGTAGATTTCCATGTAAGAATGAACTTTTTAAAAGCAGTTTGATACTCATTTACTGAGCCCTCACCGTGTTCTAGATTTGGTGCTGTGCCAGCAAGACGTACAGCATCTCACTATCTTGCAAGAGAGAAAGAAACATTGAGAACTGAATGATGTTTTAAGTGCAGAAGCAGCTGTTTAGACAAAGTGCTCTGAGAACACAGAGGCAGCAGTGGTGAATTCAGACTGATGTGGGGCGTTGCACTGAGAAGGCAAAATGTGAATTGCTCCTTAAAGAATGAGTAAGAGCTACCAGGCGAAGATTGATGAAAGAGCTTTCCAGACAGACAGAACAGTGACAGCAAGAGAAAAGGCGAAGTATGAGGTGTGTCATGGGAGCACCAGTCACTCCGAGGCGTGGGTGTGTGTAGCTGTGGGAAGGTTGTGTCATAGCGTGCACGTGAGGGGTGTGGAAGATGCTAAGTTAGTCAGTGCAAGCAATTAGCGATGCAGGTGCAAAATTTAAAAGGTTAAAAAGACATGAGGTGTGAAAATTGTTATTCTGAAAATATAGATGGATGGCTTCTGTCATTTAAAATCTGTAGCAGGAAGAGAAGAGGTATCTATGGGGTGCATATCATTTGCCTTTATATTTATGGTTGCATTTAATTCTTTCATCAAACTTAGGAGGTTAATTACTCTCAATTAAAATGCGGATGAGAAAATGGAAGCTACAGAAATTACCTGAATTCCTAGAAAGATGAAGTGCAGCAGCAGGATTCGGTCAAGAGTCATCCAACCACCTCCCCCCAATGGTATTCTTTCCATCACACCACCAGTCTTTGATCTGAAATACCTGATTCTCATATTTCAACAAACTGTGGGACACGTCGTCACAAAGACCACTATCACCACCACCACCACCACCACCACCACCAAACATCTCAGTACGTTTGGAGATAAAAACAAATGAAGAGAAACAGGATATGCATGTGAAACCTTTATAAGCTGCACTGCCCTATTCAGCATGCTTTATGGCATTGCTACGGTGATTCACATAGAGAGCTGCTGCTTTGCAAGCCTTGATTTTTCCCTGTTGTGGCCCTCAGCTGTCTGGATATGGCAGGGTTGCTGGGGCTGGCAAAAAAAGCTCATTTTTCTGCAGAATGTGAATCCACACAAAGGTATTTATCCCAAACAGCTACTTCCTCTTTTTACAAAGGACTGATTTGGAATTCAGTTTGGTTGCGATGCCACAGGTGTTTCAGAGTTTGAGGGCAGCTTCCTAGTGGGGGTTGGTTAGATGAACTCTCTGTATTACCTGCTGGGGTGAGCGTTGGCCAGGCTGGGTAAACTCGTTCACCCAGGAAATGGCCTTGCATTTGAAAAGATGTGAAGCACAAATGCGTTGTCACTTGAATTTGCCCGTTTTCCTTCTTTCTTCTATGCTCTTTGCCATGAGCCTCCACAATGTGGTACTTCATAAGGAGGGAGGAATGCCAGCATCTGCCAAGACAGTAAGATACAGATCCTGCTTCTTCAGTGGACTAGATTAACATATTAAACAGCCTGTTCGGCTAAGATGTTTCCAGCTAAAATTAGTGTTTCCTTTCTCATTATCCTACTTGTGATTTCATGAGGTCACTTTTCTCCTGGCCGTGCTTCCTCCGTCTTCCTCTGCCCCAGTCGTCTACACACTGATGATAGACGGATCTCTTGTAAATGAGAATCTCAGTGTAACACCCCGCTGCCTAAAACTGGTGCAAACTAAACTCGTCCTTCGATATTCAGGCAATGCTTCCCTCGCCAAGAGATGACCACCTTCTCGTCCACTGAACCCTGCAGGTGCCTCCCACGTGGTCTCTGCCCGCAGTATGGCCAGTTCTTTGTTTACCACCTGTTGCTTTTTGAGTTCAGGGGCTATGCCTTTTGCACTATTTCAGTATCAGAATTTCATGTATGGCTGTCTCACCGTATGTGCAAAGAAAACATTAGCTGAATATATTGAATTAATTAATTAAATATTCAATGAATCATTAATATTAAATGAATGATTGAGATGGTGAAACTTCTACAGAAGGTGAAATTGGAGGAGTCAGAGAGTCAGCGTATCTATGTGCCATTCATGGCGCCGGATAGAGGACAATGAAAATCGCTGGGATTTCCTTAAAATGACATGAAGCTAGCAGCTTTGAATACAGACTTTCCCTGCTTATAGACAGTTCTTGGTGTTTATTTGAGTTCATGACATACCTCAGGGGTCATCAGCCTGCAAGTGTGTGCAGAATGCTTTACGGTGGTAAAGACAATGAGGACAGGATGCTACGTAGTCCCTGTTTACCCTGGAGCTTTATGAAAAGATCATCCTATTTTATGAGTAATGCTTAAGACTCTTTTAAAAATTCATTTTCCTTAAGATAGCACAAATGCTTCAAACTGCCTTTCCTCTGAGGCTTTTAAGAAGTAGTAAAAACTCCAGATAAACCAAAATTATTCAATAGTATTTTATAGACCTTTCTGAATTGCCTTTTCCTTTTTCTTCCTCTAGAGGAGTGTCTAGGAGAACATTTTTCATTCTTTTCTATGCAAATTTTGCTCCATTTGAATAATAGAGAAAATGGTAGGGAGTAATCTGAAACTTTAATGTAAATGGGAGGTAGAATTTCCAAATTAATCATCTTAAAAGTTAATTTCAACTATTCAACTAAAACAATTGTATTATTGTATCAGTAGGATATATCACATCTATACAGTCATATAGAAAGATATGAAAAGAGACTGGAAGATTGTATAATAGCCATTCAAAAGGTAACTGGTAAAAAAGAGTGCCTTATAGCCCAATTATTCTTAAATGATACAACTGTATCTGGGTAATATTTTATATTGGATAATAGCTATGTTAGGCCTTAAATTACCCCAACATTCCTGAAATGACAGCAAGAAACATGATGTTTGATGATTATCTAAACGTGATGGTACCTAAATTTGAAAGTTTCCTTTAACCATAATTTGAATAATTCCTCTCTAATTTAGAGAAAATATTTCATGTCTTGTTAGTGCCCCTGCATCCTTCAGCCAACTTTTTAGAACAAAGCAATTCAAACTATTTATAACTTGAAATTGACATGGACACTAAAGAGAAGTTTTGATCTTAAGGCAACGGAGGTGACTGAGCAGAAAGAGACATGGGATCTGAATGCATCCCCAAAGGGCCATCAATGAAGCCAACAGAATGAAACCAAAATAATAGAAGTCATTTTACACCAGATACTTGAAGACATGTTTCTTGTTTCTGAGAAACATGCAAAATCATCAATATGCTAGTTTTGCATCCCAAGAAATTTCCCAAAAAGTCATGGCTCATTATTTCTCTCCTTTTAGATAAAGACTCACACTTACAGCTTGCTCACTTGACCTCTCTTCTATGTCTGATTCTTAACACCAAAAACTAACAATTTAACTCCCAAAGTGATTTTCTTCAGTTCCTTCATCTTAGAAGGGAAATCATCCACTCGATTTTTGGCCAAAAATCTATGAGTCAGCCTTGATAATTCCTGGTTTCTTACCTCCACATTCAATCCAGCACCTAAAAACCTCCTGAACGTCTCTTAAATATTTTCTCCTTCTGCTACCACCGCCACTTTAGGACCAGCTCCACGATCTGTTGCCCAGGAGAAGGTACTAATTAATACAATGGGCTTCTTAATGGTTGTCTGCTTTATCTTTGGACTCTCCAGCTCCTTGTGCATGCTGCAGCCAGAGCCCTCTTTCTGAAATGCAAGTCGGATTATGCCATTCTACTTCTTAAAAACCTCTAGTGTTTTTTAATTACCTTAAGGTTTAATCATAAAGTTAAACATAGATTACAAGGCCCTGAGTGGTCTGGCACATCTCCCTTTCTAACAGTCCCTCATCCCACTCTCACTTCTGTAGTGTCATTGACTCTCTTTCAACCCCTCACACTTACCCGGCGCTCTCCCTCCCACACTGGACCTTTACACTCGGTCTCCACTTGTCTAAAAAACTCCTGTCTCCTTGTCATGTGATGAACGTTTATTCTTCCTTCAAATTTCAGCTTAGCTGCCTGTGACCATGACCTCTTACTTACTCTCATTGCACCATATGACTCTCCTTTATGGCACTAACCATAATTATAATTTTAAATTTGTTTAATTGCTAAACAGTCTCCTTCATTGGCCTCTAAACTCTTTGAGGACATGACACATCTGGGTTTGTTCACTCATGCGTCTCCAGAGCCTAGCCCAGTATTCAGCATTTCTGATTGTCATTGTCTAATGAATGATAATGGTCATATGAGCCTGTATTGATACTGGAGGAAATCACTTTTTGAGTAATGACAAATATTCAAAGAAAGACAAGTAGATTTTAACATAAAGTGCGCTAAATATAGCTGTCTTAAGGATGACTATGGGTCATCTATGCAGGCATGCATATATATATATATACTGCTTGCATTCTTAAAAACCAGTCAGCAGACCTTACGCACTTGGGTCACTTGGCTTATGTCAAGACGTGTGAGGCTCGAAATATGTTCCCATCTACCACAAAGTGTTAGTTTCTCAGAACTGAAAGATATTTCTCAGAATATTAGTTTCTGGGAGCAGTGGAGTCATTAAAGGGAGTCAGTCTTGCATGGGCTTGAGATTTAGAATCAGATCTGTTTGGTTTGAATCCTAGCTCTGCTCTTTATTACCTGTGTGAATTTGGGCAAACGATTCATCTCTCTGAGCATGAGTTATGTCATCTGTAAAATGGGTTTTATGATACCTACCTCATGAAATTATTTTTGGGGTTATGAATTTAACATACATAATTAGAACTTTTCCTATTTAATATGTACTAAATAAAAGATCTTCATTATTCTTGCTACCTGTACGCTCCTCCCAGGTACTGCACATAGTTTGAAAGACATACCAGTTACATCCTCATCCCTTCTGCATGTTCCATTTGAATGGAGGACAGGCTTTAAAACTAAACTTTAACTGATGGGAGCTAGAGATAAAGGACAGAAGGAGGACAAATATGCCAGTCGATCACCATGGGACACCCAGGTTAATGCCTGATAAATGAGCAGAAAGAAAAAGTTAGCATCATTCACCTTTGATGTGTAGTTACTTGATCCCTGTTTGCTTTTAATTTGCTTAAGTTAGTTATAAAATATCTTCTTTGTGAGTAATTAGTTGTGCTTATCTGCTTCTTGGAGGGTAGGTGTTGGAGGAGGTCATCAAAAGGATGTGACCGCTGGTCAGTCTGTGAGCTGGACCCGAACGATCAGAGGTTCCTCATCCCCTTCCCTGTCCTTGGAATGTATGTTCTGCCCCCCCCGCCCCATTCCCACAGTGGGAGCCAGACTTGAGGATGCAACCCTGAGAGAGTGATGTGTTGTTGAGATCATCTAAACTCAGTAGTGACGGAACCTAGTTAAGGTTTCTACACACCCGTCTAAGACTCTGGAGGGCAGTGCATAGGTATTCTCATCTCGTGACCACCCAAGACAAGCCTCTTAAGTAAGTCTTCCGGCTTATTAGACCCGCAACCTGCCGGTCTGGAGTGATCGACACCTTTCCTCTGTCTTTTCTTGCCCTCTGTGTATGAGGCCAGTTTCAGATTTCATCTGGGAAGCTCCCAAGTTTTCAAAACAACAGAAGGATGTCTTCATGTTTTGTGCCACAATTCCCTTCAGTGTGCTCTGCTAACTGTACCTAGTTCAGAAGGAAAATTAAGTGGGTATTGCAAACATAGCAGTCAAGTTAACTCATACTTAGTTTAAAACCGTCATATATGGCTATATGAGGCTGTTCTTCGGTGGTGAAGAGACTGAGATATTCTTAAGGTTCCTAATTTTCTTAACAAATCATAAAGCTAAAAATAATGTAAGCAATCAATTGGCTGCCCTTACCTTTAGAGAAGGCTGTGCCTAGCCCACCTCAGCAGAAAGTTCGTCTGGCTCATTGCTTCCAAAATATTGTTTGTCAAAGGCAGTCCAGTGAGCTTCACCCTTCTTGTATTCCTTTTCAAGGAATAACCATTGTCTTTTGATGCCTGTTTTTAGCAAGTGACTGTGAAATGTTATAGATGAATTTCTTGGTGGAAATATAAAACTAATTCACCACTCAAAAGTATTGTGAGAATTACATGCACTTCTGTCCTCAGAAGAGCGATAAAGATGAAGTGAGCAGATGATAAAGGCATTACCCTTTCACCTCATGTCGCCCATCACACCGTTTTATTATTGTGCATAAAGAGTAGGTATAATTTTCATATCCAGATGAGACACATACACACTTTAAAGATATGTCAGTGGGCTGTAAAAATCCCTCTTCACAGGCATTAATTTCTACAAGTTCATCCTTGATTAATATACAATAATAATAATTTATATGGTTAACAATGATTTGGTGCTTACTATGTGCCAGATACTATGATAATTACATACATGCCAAATTCTCATAACATTTTGTGAAGACAGGTATTTATCAGCTGTGTTTCCCAGATGAGGAAGGTGAAACTTGGAGAAGTTAGGTAACTTTCTCAAGATTTCTGCAGCTTAGTTGGTAACCAATGTATGTTTTGAGTTCAGGCTGACTTGATTCTGAAGCCTTTGATGTTGGTAACTAGTCAGAAATCAGCAGAAGAAAGTTGACGTGGGGGCCAATATATGATTGTTTTTATGTAATACTATTCTTTTATGTGTTTCTGGGAGCATTTGATTAACATAAGCAACATGGGTTTACTAAGCTATTTACCTCCGTGTCTTCTTTGCAAGCTTGTGGATGTGACCCTCTCTGCGGGTGAGTGCCACCGGGAGTGAACGACAGCCTCGGAGATTACGTAAGCACTTAGTGCCATGGAGCCAATAAGAGGGCCTAGACTAAGAGCAACTGGGATGTGTGAAAACGGATGCTGCTACAAAAATTAAACCAATCAGACACTTATTAATTCAACAAAGCAGTAAAAAACAAACAACTATTATAGCCCAAATGATTTTAGGTTTAAAAAACATACCAAAAAAAAAAACCCAGCATAAATTCTCTGTTCTTTACAAGCTGACATTTTAGTGTGTATGGCAGGAGAGGAATTGATAGGTGTTGTAATTAATAATTGCAATAATAAGGTGCAGTCCACAGTAGAGGCATGGAAGAAAGTATAGAAGGGAGTGTTTAACTGGTTAGAGTTTAAAAAGTGATTTTAGAGAAAGTTATCATTGAGTGTGAGATGGAGTCCTTCAGGTGATGTGGAGACGTGACAAGATGGGCATTCCAGAAAGAAGAAACGGTGTGTGCAAAGGCATCGGGAGACTAAGTAGTTTGGCGCAGCTGAAATGTTAAGGGTCCTGAGAGCCACGCGGGCACATCTTGGACTGTTCTCGCCAAAACCATGCCATAATTTGCTTCTCTCTCACTCTCTTTCTCTCTGTCTCTGTTTCTCACTTTCTCTATCAGTTTACTTTGTGGAATTGGCTCAAGTGACTGTGGCATTGTGGGCGCTGGCGAGTCTGAACTCTGTGAGGCAGGTCAGCAGCAGCCTAGAAATTCAGGTAAGAGCTGATGCTGCAGTATTGATCTGAAATCTGCAGCGGGAGCTCTGTGTTGTGCTCTTGATGCCAAACTGCTTCTTCCTTGGGAAACCTCAGTCCTTGCTCTGATGGCCTTCATCTGATTGAATGAGGCTCACCCACATCTTGGAGAGACTTTTACTCAAAGTCTATTGGTGATAAACCGTCACGTCTAAAAACTGTCTTCACAGCAACATCTAAAGTGGTGTTTGACCAAACACTGGGCACCACAGCCTAACCAAGCTGACACAACAAATTAACCATCATGCCCACTAGAGAAAACCAGCTTCCTCCTCCTTTTTTCATACTAATACTGAGCCCAGGTCATAGATCACTTCCTTGCAGCTCAGAAGGAAGGGACTCCAAGATATATAATCCTCGGCCTTCCAGTCTTCAAAGAACCAGGAAGGCAAACTATATGTGAGTTGGAATGGGTATTAAGTGAGTCAACTAAGCATTGTTTTGGTTGCTCAGCAACCTCTCAAACTCTTCCCACACTTAAACTTTCAAACAAGAACAAGAACATAAAAGCAAGAACAATGCGCTTAATATAATTCAACTATCCTTTGTGCAAATAGAAGCTCACTTATTCTCTCCTTAAAGGGGAAGCCCCAAATCTCATCTGTTTCTGCGTCCATTTCTGAGTAATGTTCATTTCTACACTAGTGTAGTTACAGTTACATCTTGATATTTTGTAAACCATAGACTAAATTATGACATTACCAGAAAATAATTCATCCTATATAATTTCCTATATAAATTAGCAAGAGAAAGGTATATAGGAAAAATAAAATCAACTTCTCTCTTTCTGCCTCTGTCTCTGTCTCTCTCCTGGAAGAAAATTGGGTTGCCTACCTGTAGTCCTCATTTCTGCTACTTTTTATGAGGCTTTAGTTAATATTTGTAACTGGTCAAAATCTGTAGTTATTTTTTGTGACACCCTTCATCACTAGCCATTCTTAGTTTACATGAATTTCTGGCCTTTTTTCCCTCATGTAATCATTTTAATCTATAAAGTCTTTTTCATACCACTTTTTTCAACCAAATGAATTTTGATATGCAACATTTTCATTATTATTTATCCCAAAGTATTTTTTTAAATTCCTATGACCATGTTTTTTCACTAATGAGATGTTTTGAAGTGATTTTTAAAAATTCTTCAGGATCTTGGTAATGACTTTTTTGGATATGACACCTAAAGCACAAACAAAAATATTAAAAATAAGCCAGTGAGACTACATCAAATTAAAACGCTTCTACTAAGCAAAATAAACCATCAACCAAGTGAAAAGACAATCTATGGAATGGGAAATACATTTGCACATCGTATGTCGGGTAAGGGGTTACTATTCAAAATATGTAAAGAATTCATAAAACTCAACAGCAAATAAGTAAGTAAATAACCCAACTGAAGAAAGGGCAAAAGACCTAAATAGACATTTCTCCAAAGAAGATATATGGAAGCCATCAGGCACATGAAAAGATGCTCAACATCACTAATCATTAGGGAAATGGAAATTCAAACCACAATGAGATAGCACCCCATGCCTATTAGAATGACTATCATGAAAACAACAGAAGATAACAAATACTGATGTGAATGAACCCTTGTGCACTGTTGGTGAGATTGTAAATTGGTGCAGCCACTATGAAAAATTGTACAGAGAACCCTCACAAAATTAAAAATAGAGCTACCATATGATCCTTTAATTCCACTTCTGGACATATATCCAGAGGAAGCAAAAACTCTTAACTTGAAAAGTTGTCTGCACTCCCAGGTTCATAGTAGCATTATTTTCAGGAGTGAAGACATGGAAACAACCTATGTGTCCATCGATGGATAAGCAGATAAGGAAGTTGTGGTATATATATAATGGAATACTATTCAGCCATAAAAAGAGGAAATTCTACCATTTGCAACAACATGTGGACCTTGAAGACATTATGCTAAGTGAAATAAGTCAGACAGAGAAGGTTAAATATTATGTGATCTCACTTTTATGTGGAATCTAAAAAACAAACTCATAGAGAAAGAGATTAGGCTTGTGGTTACTAGAAGCAGGGGGTGGGGAGGGGGGAATTGAGGACAGGTGCTCCATCAGTGAGAAATTTTCAGTTACAAGATAATAAGTATGGGGGCTATAATGTACAACATGATAACAATAGCTAACATAGCTGTATAATATGTAGAAAAGTTTTAAGGAAGTAAATCGTAAGAGTTCTCATGGCAAGGAGAAATTGTTTTTCCTTTTTTTTCTTTCTTTTCTTTTTATTGTATCTATGTGAGAAGATGGAAGTTACCTGAACCTGCTGTGATAATCATTTCACAATACGTGTAAATCAAACCATCATGCTGTGTGCCTTAAACTCACACAGTGATGTATGTCAATTATTTCTCAGTAAAGCTGGAAAAAACTGCATATAATTAATGTATACAATTTGGTGAATTTGGACAAGTGTATATGCATGTGTTACCATTACCAAATTAAATTCAACCATCACCTCCCCAGAGAATTCTTCAGGTATATGGGGATTTTCATTGACCTTTTGAAACTGATCGATTGCATGTGGTTAAAGAATATGGTTGATGGTATATATTTGAATTTTTTATATTATATTATATCGTATCATGCCATATCATATCAGATCACATCATGTTATAGATTATATCTGGTAACTGAGACAAACATGTTGAAAATTCTATGACTGTGGATTTGTCAGATTTCCCTATAGCTCACCCAACTTTTGATTGACCTATTTTGGAGTTATCTATGTTTGAATTGCTCTATCTTCTTAGTAAGTTGAAACTTTCATCATTATGCAGTGCTCCTCTGTATTTATCTTGGTGGTCTTCTGATAGTCTGCCTTCCTAACACCATTTCTACATTCTTATGTAGAAAGAAGACTCTTTCTTTCTTGAGGGAATCCATTCTTTGTGATTCATCCTGTCCCACCATTCTCAGGACCGACTTGCACTTTCTTCCTAGATTCTTTTTAAAACTCTCTGTACTTTTCACTATTTAGATTAGCTTTAGTGTGCTTCTTGCTGTTTGCAATGCAGTCATTTCTCTGTGGGTGTTATTTTAGTCTTTAATTGGTTCTCTTAGTTCTACAGTCTTACTAATTCTTTTGTACTTTCATCTTGTTTTTGAAGTCTCCTGTCACTGAATTTGTGTTGTTGTTGTTGTCGTTTTAAAAATATTCTTCTATTGTATAAGGCACTTGTAGAGAAAGTTCTTTTTCTTTGGCTATAATTGCTTCCACATAAGGCACTACATTCATCCTTTAAATAATATGTTTCTTTATTTCTACTTTTTCTTTTGTGTGTGTTGACATTTTTGGAATTGAGGCTTTGCCATTTCTCTTTTCTTTTATTTATAACAAATCGTCTTATTAAGATATTCCTTTAGGTTTGATATAAAGTGGATATTTGTCCCTCTTTCCACAGTCGTCTGTGCCGGTTTTGTTGGGCTAATATTCACTTCCTCTGGCAGAAAGCGTCAAGCTTCCTATCTTTTCTGACGCCGAGGATAGCCCTGAACCTTAGCTTCTGCAGAGAGAGTCAGGACCAGGTCTATATTTTCACTCTTATTTCATCATCTCTCCCATAAATCTGTTTCACTCCCCTACAATTCAGAGAAGAGGAGACACTAAGTAAGTGACTTCCGTATGTCTGACTCCTAGAGTTACCGGGCCGAGGGGTGGAGCAGGGAGACACCTTCCTTGGAGGTCTGTGCACACCAGTGTCCCACTCCTCGTAATCCGCCGCTCACCTCCCAGAATTTAACTTCCTGTTAAGATTTTCTCATATTTATTTCTTCTTTTGCTTTGCTAATTACCTTTTGTCTTGAGCTTTCTCCCATTTAATAAGGTCAGTATGGCAGCCCCTGACAGATTTTTTTGTGCCTTATTAAGGGAAAACTTAATAAAGTTATGTTATAAATAAGAAGTATGAGAAAAGTTCTTGAGGGTTGCTTTGATCATTTGTCTGAGTTTCTCACATACCTTTTCAATTGTTTTTCTACAGATTGGTTGGTGGTGTGTTTGGAATGCATTTTTTTTAAAGAGTAGAGCCTACTTATATCTTCTTTATAATTTTGCCTCTGAGAGGAGGTAAGGCTAGGAGCCTGCTGAGTCGTGTCGACTTTTGGCTGTACTGAATTGGCACACCTTTCTTCAAACGTTTGGAGCTATGTCAGCTTCCTCGTTGCAGGGTTTGTTGTTGCTGTGTCCCTAAGATGTAAGAGAAATGGAAACATTAATATTCAGCCTCACCGTTCTTCTTATCCATGATTTTTAAACATGGGATGGCTTTGATATTTATCCCAATTAAAAAAAACTAGCAGTCTGGCTCAGCAAGTGCCATTTATCGAAAGTAAGCAAGTCGCAACTCCATCCAGTAGCACAGGAGAGGAGGAGAGCCTGAGGGTGATGGCGTGTGGCTGTGCCTCCCCACAGCACTAGGATGCTGTTGGGAACAAACTGTATGTCGAAGGAAAAAGACAATTTATTAACATTCAACATTAACCTTTGCCTAAGGAGAAATGCACATAGATAGATCATGTCATTTCAACGAGCAACTTGGGAACTAGAAGAAAAAATAGTTACCAGCATATCAGGAAAAAATGTAACCGGAGGATTCTAAACAACATCTACTAAGCATGACTATAGAGAGATTCAGGCACCCCCGGGGACAGTAAAGTTCTCATCAAATTATACACACTGAAACTCAGAGAAGTAAAGCTTACATGAAATCTTGAGAGGGTTCTAAACAGAAAAGCTAGCATTGATTTTTCCCAAGGTGTTAGACTCATTGTCCATAAATTACTGTTCCACTTGTGAGTAATCTATATGTTGTCTTTATTCATGTGTGTACTATATTTCTCTTTTCCAAACCAGTGGTACAGCTTTACAAGAGTCCACTCACTCTATTTAAATTGAGAAATGAAAACAAGTGAAAAAGACAAGTTGCAGGTCAAAAAATATGAAATAAATAGGTTTAAGGAATTCATTAAGGTCTCAGGTCTAAATACAATCACTTCTTCATATTCCAAAAGAAAAGTCTTTAAAAATAGGATAAATGTGGGAAAATTCATATAGATAACAATTTTGCAGTAAAGGGAAGTGAGTTAAAATAACTAGGAAAGGGTTTCTCGTGTTAGGTGAAGTAAGTCAGTAAGAGAAAGACAAATACTATATGATGTCACTTTTATGTATTTTAGGGAATCCAAACCCAAACTCGTTCTGCTTGCCACACGACAGGCTGATAAATTGGGGTACAAGGTGCTGGGGCAAGGAATAACAACTTTATTTGGAAAGCCGGCAGACCGAGAAGGTGGCAGACTAACGTCCTGGAGAACTATCTTCCCCAAGTCAGAATTCAAGCTCCTTATCTAATACTAAAAATGAGAGGGTGTGTGATTGTTGCAAACTTCTTGGTGTCGGAATCCTTTGTTCTTGCAGGTGTCCATGTGGGTCAGGTCATGGTGTCCCTGTGAACCTCCAAAACAAATGTTATTTTCTAGTCTGTAACTTTTTATCTTTATATGAATCGAAAAATGTTATACACTTAAAGGTCACAGCCTTGAGATTGAGCTCTCCTGTATATTTCAGTCTATAGGCGACATTCTTTTACAAAAGGTGCCGAACCATCACTACGAAGCCCAGGAAACAGAGCACAGGGTTAAAGCCAGAGGAACAGATCTAATATGGACTCAGTTTGTTCTTTTCTGTTACAATTCCCCACTGTCGATGTCCGTTCCACAATCTGGTGGGAAAAGGGGCGATGACAATTCTGGCTACTTCCTGCTGAACAGGAGCGATGAGGGGGTGACCATGGAATGGAACTGATCAGCCTTGGACAGGGAGGATTCCTTAGAATCTTCAGTCAGTGGTACAGTCCTCTTTCCTTCTGCATCTACAACTACTCGAACGTGATGAAACCTCTTGGTATTTTGTTGAATTTGGAATCTGGGGGTTCAGTTCCCAATACAGATCTATTAATTTTACTTTTGAGGCTATGCCATAATTACTCTGTGCTCTTTACTTGGAAAAGATTAAACAAATAGGTTGCCCTTTTTCCAGCTACTATGAAATTATAATCTCAATACTTACCTTTTTTTAAAAGAGTAACCTTAAGTCGTCTAAGGGTTCACAAACCATTGTTCCCTAGGCCTCTCAGGAGTTGGGTCATTTTCTGATTCTGATGATGGTGGTGCTGCTTTAATCCTCATGGGATGAATCCATGGCTTTACCTCAGCTAATTTGACAGATGAGTGCATGGTAAGTCCATCTCGTCCATCTTGCAGTCAGCTAATGTTCAGGCCCCTGGTCTCTCCAGGTTTTAATTCTTAGTTTTGGAGTACCCTATGATTTGGAATTTTTTTTTCTTCTTTCTATCTTCATTTCCTAGTTGATCACATCCAGACACCCATCTCTGAATACCATCCATCTGCCAACCCTTCCCATCTCTGTATCTCCAGATAGTCCCCTTCTCTGAGTTCCTGACTCATCTATTTAACTTCTCACTCCATATTACACACTTATTTCAAAAACAGAATCCTTGATTCTCTTCCCCCAAATTGCTTAGTCTTTCCATCTTTGTAAATGTCACTTCTCTTCCCCCATTTGCTCAAGTCTCTCCTACATTTCTTTCAATCCATCAGCAAGTCCTGTTGGCTCTACCTTCACACTATATCCCGAATCCTACCAGGATGACTATCATACTTCAAGCCATTATCATTTCTTTCCTGGACTGACTGTGGGAATAGGTTCCCAACTCAATCCTCTGCTTCGACTTTGTTACCCTGATGTCTTCTCTGCGTGGGATCCAGGGTGATAGATCTAACATGGAAATCACACCTTATCACTGCAGAATCTTCAGTGGCTGCAGCACTTTCTGGTGCATAGTTGGCACTCAATAAATATTTGTTGAATGACTGAAAAAGAAATGTTCTTTAGGGAAAGGGGTTAAATACAATAGTTATTTCTAGTATGTATGTATATGTTAGTTCCTCTAGTGGCCCAGTCTCGTCTTCACTCATAAACTGCCTTCGTGAATTTGGGGGAAATTATTCACCGTCTGTCATTCTTCCTCACCAACCAACAGCTTAGTGTTCCCAAATGTGACATTGAGGGCGACCTTGTGGGCTTACCACAGTAGAGAGGTTGGGCGCTGATGTTCTCCCTCTTGGTCTCTACCATCCCAAAAGGGAATTCACTGACATGAACCACTCCATTAATTTAAGAGGCTATACCTTCACAATACTTAAAATTACTTTTCAGGAAATAACATACCTGTGCTGCAGCTCAAGGTGTCAGAAATGTACAGAGTCTATAATATAAATCTAACTATAATAGGTAGGACCAGAGAGGGCTGGTGGAGGGGATTGTGTAGACTGGTATGACCACTTGCCCTGTTCCTCAAATCATACAGTATACTTAACCCACCAGTGTATAGCATCGCCCCTAACCTTATGTTCATTATTCAAGAATGCACATATTTTAGGAGGTCAGCATTCAGACTGGGTTCGGTAGTTTGTCATTTTTCTAAAGTGCATATATGCATAAAGCACATATGACAAAAATGGGAAAAACCAGAAGTCGATATTTTCTCTTTTTCCTGGTGAAACTAAACTTCTTGTAATCAATCCACCGACTAGTTAATTAACAAGTGCTGAATTAAGCCCCTAGGCCACGGAGCATTTAATTTGCCTTGGAATCCTAATCCAGTTAAATGCCAAGTCTCTGGGGAGAGGCGCTGTCTGGCTACGTTTCACCCTTGATACACTGTTTGGAATTAGAAGGAACAAGGGAAGCCCAGAAGGAATAAGTAGCTTTGGGCCCAAGTAGCACTGTGGCAAGACTGAGCTGTACGCCTGTGCCTGCCAATATCCATTCATTACTAAGAAAATGAAAGATTGAGGAAAAAGCAAATTGTCTCTGAAAGTCCTCTTACCTGTGACATAAGACAAACCAAACTGGTAAACCCATGAAGTTTGATCTTGATATTCCCCCGTGACCTTGTTGGAACAAATAGGAAAAAATAACAGAAAGTTGCTGCCTTTTTCACTAAATCTATTTTAAGATCCTGAACTACTTCAAATGCAAGAGAAACGTGTACCACTTTTCAGTGTGAAGCAACAGGTGCCAAGATTTTATGGCTTCAGGGTCAGGTCCTGCAGAAAATTTAGTCACAAAAAAACAGCAGGAAATTTAGTCTACAATTTGCACTCTAACTTCTATTTTTGGCTTTATCTGACTCCAGGAGGCCCATGGCTACCTATGCCAGGTTGGTATTCAGGAAGAAGCAGCGCCGCCAGGGTTCTGCGCAGAGATAATAGTTGCTTCCGTGAAAGAGCCTCGGGATATTTCATTTGGAATGTCGACTTCAAGTGTGGCTGAACTTGGCACCAATCTAGTGACATTTAAAAGGCTGGCTTTGTTTCCATATCTCTCCCTTTTGCTGAGTCACAGATACAGATGACACATTTGACGATCAGGTGGATGTGAGTGGCAGTTCCGCTTAGTTAGGAATGTTAAGTTTTTCAAAATCTAACTTTTTTTTTTGCTTAAAGAGATTCATTTTCAATCCAGTGGCAGAAATCATGAATACAATCAGTTATTGAAAAGAGCAAGTAGCATGTTGCCAAAAAAAAAGAATAGACAAAAATTAAATCAGAGGAGTGCTGTGATGCGGTGAAGGACCGACTGCTCCCAGGGCCCGGACCCAGCACTGAAAGGGAGTATTATTAATGAGCATAAGATAAGGCCAAAGGCTCTTTGCTCAAGGTCCGGCAGAGATAGAAAAAGACTGGGGCCAGGGAAATAGGGCAGCAGATGACGGACTGGACCTAGTGATGGTGACAAGTAAATGTAAGTTAGGCCATAAGCTTGTTTGTGCAGAAAGGAAAACACGGATAAAACTATAGAAACAAAACCGAGTATTTTGCCCCACACGGAAAGTTAATATTAGATTTATCCTTGCCAGGTGCGAGACAGCACAGGACAGCTCAAAAACAGACCGAAACATACAATTTGATTAAAAGAAATGAACACAGGATCCTTTCTTTGAGCTCAGACCCTGCACGTGCCAAGGAAAATGATCTCCCCAACCCCATGCCTCACACTGGAAAGGACTCAGAGGGCTGTGTTTGTTCGCTGGCTTTGATTCTGCGAATGAAATTTTCTTTTAAGTAAAGAACAAACAAACCATTTCAAAGAGCATTTTGTTTGTTTCCCTGAAGTGTGTTAAAGATTCCAGGTATAAAAAGAATGGGGTATTTTGTTTCCTACTTTAAGGGGTCAGAACAGCCTCATCAATCCTTGCACGTGGGCCGTTGAAGTAGGCACCAATCATACAATCTTCTTTCCATTCTCCATGTGGGAAATCTCTGGCAGTAAGAGTTAATGGGCCTCTGAACCTCAACAATAGTCTAACATTTACAGCATTACAAGGATCTACTGACATAAGTTTTAGATTAGAATCTTAACCCCAGGCATCTTGTTAGCTTAGCATGGGGTTCTTAAAATACATTTTAAAGCATTTTAAAGATCCAGATGATGAAAGCATTTGGGTCTTTTGTTGGGCATATGTCTTGAAAGGCTGAAACTGGAATTAATTTTAGTATTTGAGAGATGACTGAATTTTATCTGGGCTTTCCCCCAAAGAGCTTCTAATATAGACGTTATAAATGTGCACAGACGCCTCAGCATGAATTAAAGATCACCGTCTCCTGTCCTGTGGGAAAGGTAAAAACTTTTCTGGATACCACTATAAATAGCACTGTGCTTAAGGACACAGTAATGTGTATTCTATATGCCTGTTCTACAGACTACACTGCAAAATGAATGCATTTACCATGAGGACGTTAGGTTAGTGCTGAAGAGGATAAAACTATACTATATCCACAAGTGTGCTAAGAGTCTTAGTCAATTCTTGCTTTGGATACTTTTCTAGTTAATAATTTCGGTGACATTGAAACCAGATAGATGGTATCTTTCTTTTCTCCCCTTCAAACTGCGAATCCACCCCTTCCCATTGCTAAGTGTGCTGTTTTAGACAAGTCAAAGTGTCTTGGCATCCGTATTCATAAACAAGGATGGTACCACTTCACAGTGTTGTTTTGAGGGTTACATGAAAATGAACATATGCATGTAGCAGCGATGGAAGCTGAGACTCACATGGGATTAGATGTGCTCAGAGAGCATCACTTCATTACCTCGTCTTAGATCTTCTTTGCATTCTATGTAGTCAGTCTCCTTTAACAGTCTGAGAAATCCCCAGGTTTGGTTATAACCTATCTTTTGCATAGGACCACTCAGATCTCTGGGAAAGAACGTAAAATGTGTCCATTGTTACAGTTTGGCTTTGGGCAGATGTAGGCATAATGGATTTATTCATTAGAGGTGGAAGAAAGGGAGATAAAGGCAGGGCGCTTAGATAACAGATGGTGATAACATGGCCCTTTAGAGAAGGTTCCCATGAATGAGGGAGAAATCCAATGGGTAGAATCCCCAGATCTTCTGGGTTACCCTGCATGTGGACTGAGTAAGCGCTAGCTTGGTTCCAGAGAAAGCCCGAAGGCAGTGGCCAGCCTACACTTGATGTAGAAAGCTGTCAACATGCAGGGAGCTGTATGACTGCAGCTGCAGGTGGACTCAGAGGTGGGTCCAGGGGCTATGGGAAGAGGGTCCGTGATTCCAAGGGCACAGTGGATTTACCAGTAAGCAAGTGCCAACTTGTGGGCAGCCTCTGTCCTCTAGAGGATTCTGGCAGCATACTTGGCTGCAGACAATGGTGTAGAAGGTTGACAAGGATGGCAGTGAGTGCAGAGCCACAAGCAGTGCTCAACCTGCCCCCTTAGGGATTCCAAGAAGGGGATAAGAGTGGGGAGCAGCAGCAGTAACGTGTTGTTAAGTGGACCCAAGGTCAAATTATTTAAAGTGATTGGAACTGGAATCCTATAGCAGGTCACCTTTGGACTACTCGTGTAAGGGCCCCGGGGAATTCCTGGTGATAATTGCGGGAAGAGCGCTTGGAAAAAGTCTAGAATTCTTTTAGCATCATGATTTGGTGTTTCCTTATCAATGGGCTTACCTAAGGCAACCTACAGATTCAATGCAAATCCCTATTAAAATTGCAATGGCACTTTTCACAGAACTCGAATAAATAACTTTAAAATTGCATGGAGACACAGAAGATCCCAAGTAGCCAAAACAATCTTGAGAAAGAACAAAGGAGGCAAGAATATACAATGGAGAAAAGACAGTCTCTTCAATAAGTGGTGCTAGGAAAACCGAGCAGCTACATGTAAAAGAAAGAAATGAGAACATTCTCTAACAACACATACAAAAATAAATTCAAATTGGATTAAAGGCCTAAATGTAAAAGACTAGATCTTAAAAAACTCCTAGAGGAAAGCACAGGCAGAACACTCTGACATAAATCAGAGCTATATTTTTTGGATCCATCTCCTAAAGTAAAGGAAATAAAAGCAAAAATAAATAAATGGGACCAAACAAATAGGAGTATTTGCACAGCAAAGGAAACCACTGACAAAATGAAAAGACAGCTCACTGAATGGGAAAAAGTATTTGTAAGTGATATGACCGATAAGAGGTTAACATATATAAACTGCTCATATAACTCAACATCAAAAAAACAAACAACTCAATTTAAAAAATGGGCAGAAGACCTGAATAGACATTTTTCAAAAGAGGAAATGCAGATGGCCAACAGCCCCATGAAAAGATCCCTTACATCACTAATCATCAGGGAAATGCAAATCAAAACCACAATGAACTATCACTTCATACCTATCAGGATGGTTATCATGAAAAAGAACACAAATAGCAAATGTTGGCGAGGATATGGAGAAAAAAGAACCCTTGTACACTGTTGGTGGGAATGTAAGTTGGTGGAAAACAGTATGGAGGTGTCTCAAAAAAGCTAAAAATAGAACTAGCATATGACTCAGCAATTCAACTCCTAAGTATACATCTGAAAAAAAACAAAAACACTAAGTCAGAAAGATACATGCACCTCAGTGTTCACAGCAGCATCATTTACAATTGCCAAGATATGGAAGCAACCTAAGTGTCCATCCACGGATGAATGGCATATATACACAATGGAGTACCACTCAGCCATAAAAAGAATGAAATTGTGCCATTTGCAACAACATGGATGGACTTGGAGTGTATTATACGAAATGAAGTAAGTCAGACAGAGAAAGACAAATGCTGTATGACATCACTACATGTGGATCTAAAAATAAACTAGTGAATATAACAAAGAGAAACACTGGGGCTGAGGGCCGCTAAGACAAGGAGTAACTCTGTACCTGGTGATTAGAAGAGCAGCAGCATTAAATGTGTAGATCTTCCTTTGGGGAAGGCCATGTATTTTTGAGAATCTTGACATCACGCAGAAGCCCAAGGACGCGCACCAGAAACAGTGGCACGACTCGGCTGCGGGGTGAGAGTGGGTTTGGCTTTTCAAATAGAAGGTAATCTATGGTGAGAGTACAATTATCTTCTCTCTGAAGGACCTTGTCAGCTCTGGACGGTCTTCCTTTCAGAGGACTGAATAGGTAATAGAAGAGACAGAAGGCAGGGAGAGAGAAGGATGTGGCTTTGGAGGGCAATGGTACTGTTTTTGTAAGCATTTCTCCTCACTTTTGTCAATGGAAATCAACATACATTTTGGTTTCCTCAAGGTTTAGATCAAACTGACTTTAGCCAAGGAGCAAGTTCACCAGATACCTTTACAAAGTCCTCAATTCTATTTGGGCTCTGATTTGGGGAAAGCTATTCTCCCCGTCGGCCTGGCTTTGCCTAACCTCACGTTGCCATGGCCTCCAAGGAAAGCCAACTGCTGGGAAGGTTGACTAAGGGCAATGAGACATCTTCGGCAGTCGGATATTTGGGATACTCCCCCCACCTGAGCTCACTGGCTGTTCATGCATAAGTGACCAGAGTTACCAGCTAAAGCACCTCAGAGTGAAACTGAGCATCTCTCCTGGCCTGAGCTGCAAAGACTGGACCATCTCTCTATTTCCAGGCACAGTGGCTCCTTCAGAATACAGAGGCAGCGGATGCATCTCCCCACCAAAGTGAATTCTGGGCCACTCCAAGTAAGCCTACACACCCCATTAAAATAAAGTTGATTTAACAAGTCATTGCTGAATGGCACGTTTAAAGTATGTGACTTAACATTTTTGTAAGAAATTATCTGAAAATAAAAGGAGAAAAGAGATTTTTAAACAACAAAAAACTCCGCAACTTGGCATATGTAATAGTTATAAGATTATAGAACTTAGTCTAATATATCATTAACATGTTCTAACATATTTTCCTTCATGCTACAAAATACTCCTAATATATTTAGTTTAAGAAATTTTTCTATTATTTTTGACTCAACTTTCCAGCTTCAAAAGGAGATTTCTAAAATCAAGTGATTCTACCTTTGTTGTTTTGATGGTTTTGGTTCTAATACCTGTCTATGACACTTCACTGGAAATACTTTGAAAACAACCTTATTGAAGTTTTTAGTAGTAACAGGTGTGCATAATACTTGCATGCTGTTGCTTTGTAACTGACATGTTACCTCAAATCTTCAACAGCTTCATTATTGTCAAATGTACCGTAGTAACTCTTGGAAACATCTAAACACTTCTTTGGCACTATGTTTCACCTTGAGTGAGCAGGAACTGTGGTCATGAGTCTCACTGTGGCTACCGTCAGACTCTACTCAGAGACACTGGTAAATGCAGAAAGTCTTCTTTGCTGTGAGGTTTCTCTGCTCTGTCCATCCTATACACAGGACTGAATATTAAAAGAAGGAAAATCTGTGAGTCCTTTAAATAACAGTTAATCTTCTATATATATATATAGATAGTATTTATTGGGTAGTCTATTTCAGTTCCATTTTTGTAAAAAGACAGTTTCAAAATGGAACACATAAAATTCCACTTCAGATCAGCTTTAACAAGGAACATTTGCAATCATGTGATGTCAGAGAACATTCACTTAAATCCCAGTTAAGAAAATGGTATCCTTCCCTCTATAATTGCTTTCTTTTCATTAGTGCACACATATTCCAAGAAATTGTCTCCAGTTGTTGTTGTATTTTGAATTGTCAGTAAATTTTTGTGAAATTTTGTCATCTCTCATTGTAAGAGTGCTTACAAAATCCCCTTGATTTTGCCT